TTGCTCCCCATCTATCCTTTCCTTCCTGCTTTTCAACTCAAAAGAAAAAACATAAATAAAAATTTTAATCTCCTCAGCTTTTATTTGGTGTACAATTCTAAATCCACCCTGCTGTTTGGGATTATTAGGCACCTCATAAACTACAAAAAAAAATTAAAGCGTTCAAAATCTACTTTGAATTAAATTAAACCAGAATCTTCTCACTAATCTTAACAGGTTTAAATTAAACAAAAAAACCTCCCAACATTTTCATGTTTGGATGCACGGTCTCAGGAGGAGCGCAGCCATGTTTACGCCCATCCTTGTTCTAACATCTCTATAATCCCTTTTCTAGAACTTGCACCGGCCTGTGTTTCCTGACCTTTTGTGTGCCTTCTTCAGGCTGGACAGCACTTTTCTCCACCAGGAGGTTCCACCTGTCCAGCTGCACCACCGCACCGTCCTCCACGTGGCACAGCACCTTAGACACCGGCTCGTCCGTGTACCCCTGCAGTTGAAACGAAAACAAACAAGCAAAAGCGCATTAAGACGCAGAAACCAGGCGAGTTCATAGGTGCTCGGTCAGCTGTCTGAGTGACCTAAAGGTCAATTCAACCCTTAACTATGAAGATGATGTTTGGAGTGCTTCTCCTTTGCATTATTTCTGCTAAAAATGTCATGAATGACAGTAAAGTGAAAAATATGAATTCTAATTCAGCAGAAATCAATAAAAAATCAGTAATTCGGAGGAACAGATGAAGAAGAAAGGAGAGTCAAAAAAGGAAAAAGAGGAGGAAAAATGAGGAAAGGAAAGTGAAACTTAAAGGGACTTTACGGAGTTTCGAATTTTTATGCTCGCGATTGCCCCCTCAGGCCAAAAGCGTAACAGCAGCTTCAATAGTAGGCTCGTGCACAAGGCACTGCTGTACGTGCACACTCCTTAACGAAAATAACAGCTGAGACAGTCCCGTGTGTGTATGTGTGCGTGTGTGTGTGTGTGTGTGTGTGTGTATGTGTGCGTGTGTGTGTGTGTGTGTGTGTATGTGTGCGTGTGTGTGTGTGTATGTGTGTGTGTGTGTGTATGTGTGCGTGTGTGTGTGTGTGTGTGTGTGTGTGTGTGTGTGTGTGTGTGTGTGTGTGTGTGTGGGTGGGTGGCCCAGAGGACAGAGGACAGGAGAACGTGCAGCTAATTAATTAAATAATGTGGTTCTGTAGCTTTCTCTTCAGCACAGCGACAAAGGTTTATGATGGGTCAGTCCTCCTGCATGCTCAGATCATTCCCTTCCCTTGCTTGAAAAATTGTTCCAAAATGAAAGTTGAACCCACATCTTTTTTATCTGTGAATTCAATGCCGTTCAGCGAGTCTCAAATAAAAATTTGGGCATCTTACTGTAAAAAATATACCATTAATGTAAAAAATAAACTCTAAATAAACTATGTTCACACCCAGAATCAAACCCAGGTCTTCTGAATGAGAGTCAGACATCTTACTAGGTGAGCTAAAGCACCAGTGATGTCCTTCGTATCTGTAACATTTATATCCTTGATGACAGCTGAAACAACGTTCAAATAACGGTTCGGAGTGAAAATGGCTATTTTGTTGCTAATTAGCAGGAAATATCTAGAAGAAAGTTCTACAGAAAGTAGCTAAGGGTCCTCAGAAATGTAGCTAGCTTTGTCACTAGGCGTTAGGAACAGCGACAAAGTGGCACTGCCTCTCTCTCTGCTGCTAAAGCTACGGATAGCAAATGCTACGGGCGATGCCTGAGCGTGAACGCGCATGAAGCAGCCTGCTCGACCCGAGCATCTCTCTTTTTCTGTGATTTTACAGAAAAACAGGCAATCCCAGTAAAAATGCCAGGGCTCATTCTACAGGACCAGGGCATTGCAGGAGAACGTATGAAGAAGACATTTATTATTTCTATACATGTTTTGGCTGTCAAACTTCCATAATGCCCCTTTAAACTAAAAAATAAAAGAGAATGAAGACAAGTTATCTTTAAAAAAATGAAATTCTCTGCAAACAGAAATATTCAAGAGGAGAAAAAGGTCAGAGAACTAAAACATAAAAGTAAATTCATTTTAATATTTTCTCCTTTTGTTTCTCGTTGTTACAGAAACTGTTATTCTGGTTTTTCTCAGCTGCTCGGTACCAACAGAAATATTCCACAGATTAAATCCTGGTTCAGTCTCTCATTAATCCATACGAATGATAAATGCTCACGAACCAGGACACTTTATTCATTATTGTAAAACTTAAAGATCGCTTCGACTCGTGTGGGCTTTTCGCCCAGAAGAGGATGTCACATCGGAGCGTTTTCCTATTTCAAACTGCGAAAGGCTCCAGCCTGCAACAGAAGTGCTGCACTTTGATGAAAAAGAGACGCTAAATTTCAAGAAGCAGCATCTGGAGTATTGGATTTTGTTTAATGAAGACACTGTGCTGCAGCTTTCACCTAACCTCCCTGATTTATGACCACGTCTCTGTTCTCTGTTTGATGAATATCCGAATGAAATATTTTTGAAACATTTGCTGATTTTATAGTAGAAAAATATACAGAAAATAAAACTACAAAAATGAATAAAACCACTTAATAAAGCTTATTTTTAAGATATGTTTAATGTGTTTAGAATTTTTTACCTAAGGCTAAATTTATTTAATTTACTCCCAAAGTGGAAGGAAATCTGTGATAACGTCAACTGGGATCATGTCGTGGGTGTTTGGCGTGTTTGTTGGAGGCCATCAAACGGAGGTGAAGGCTTAAAGGGTGAAATGTGCAGGAAGAGCGCTCAGACATCCTGGAATGTGGCTTTGAAGGTTGCAGACATGTTGGAGGAGTGAAGACTGGACTTAGCTTATAAACATCTAAGCAAGTGATAAAAACCTCTAAACAAGATCAAAGTTACGGTTAGGGTTAGGCTTTCTCACGTTTGTCGAGTGTTTCTGGTCACATGGTTATCTAAAAGTTGGATTATGTCAAATCAGCATTGCAGGATTTTTCTTGTTCTTTGATGAAACTTTAAGTGTAAACGTGCACACACACACGCGCAGTTGGAAGATAAAACATTGTGTCCTGTTGCTTTCTGTCAACCGTCTGGCTGGAAACTCACCCCACCCCAGTTGAGCGTCCTGGCGAGGTCATTTCCTGTTCCCAGAGGAAGCACAGCGACCGGAGGTTGGGGATTCATCTGCAGCTCATCGAGAGCCGAGAGGATCCACCCCACCTACGGAGAGAAGGACCACAAATCCACAAGCTCTAGATGGTTGGACCAAAACACGATGAGTGTAAACAAAACACGGCGGATCTCACCGTCCCGTCTCCGCCGCAGGCGAGGATCCTCAGATTTGGCACTTTGCGATACAACTCCAACCTGACAGAGAGCAGAAAGCTGAATGAGGTCTGGCTCTGCTTGACTGGCAGCGATAAAGAGAGAGGTGCTGATTGGTCCAAGATGTGTAAATAAAACCGGATAATAATTAAAATCTTTTATTCATGAAGAAATAAATCAAGTTAAGAAGATTCAAGCCTTAAAACTGGAGCCGAAGACTTCCTGTCCATAGGAAGAGCTACTCACGCCTCTCGTAGTCCACCGTGGGACAAGTCAAAGACCTGCCGAGGATTTAGGATCCACATGAACATCTGAGCCAGCTTGGCACCCTGTGCACAGAAACCTGTGGTCACCACACTTTTATAATGGCAATAACCACGACGGTCAATAAAAATTCAGCTAAGATAATAGAAACCAACATAAAATGTTATTTTATAGCTAACTCATCAGTTTCTCCCATTTTAGATGCGATTCTCAGGATTAATGAGGATTAATAACGTGAAGAGAAATGAAACCGTTTTGTTTATAATAAAGATCAAAGAGAAACGAGAAATAAAAATAAAACATCAAGATCAGAGAACGCATAGATTAGATCACAGGTTTTCCAAAAGGCGCGTCGAACATAAATGCCAGTCGGCGTGTAGTTGCTCACCTGATTGCCCCCACTTTTAGGATTAACGAAAACCAAAATGGGTTTCATCAGAGGAGAGGGGAGGGGCTTCAGAATGAACGGACGCCATTTAGAGTCCTGAATAAAACAGAAAAAAAGAAAAAACTTGAGTTTAAAGTGTTGGTCATTTTTGGACTCTTATATCCAGAGTTCATTGGGATTAACCCAGTTTCTGCAGATTAAAGCAGAAAAACCAGACAATCAACGAAACACCCTTCTGAGCACTCCTCCAGCTGGTGGGTTCACTTTCACTGAGACCAGCAGGGCTGAACCGAGTCAGACCCAACCAGCCAACAGCAAGAAGCACATCTGGCTCCAGGGTAGGAGCTCTCTGTCGGGTTCTTCTAATGCTTTCAGTTACACGAGACAGAAAAACACCAACGTCTGGACCTGTCAGCACCCACTTATGGGCCATTCCCATCTGCACCGGGTCGGCCCGGGCCGGGTAGCCCCAGTCGGCCCCAGCCTGGCCCGGTTGATTCCACACATCCTTGCCTTAAGCCCATGTGGGCTGATTCTACCCACCAATCAGAGGCTTGCTCTAATGGAAGGTGTGAATTTGCTGTCAGCAGTGGGTGTGTTGGCCCTGGTCGGCCTGAAGCAGACCCCCTCGAGAAGAGGGCTGAGAATGAGCCTTGGTTGGCCCGGAAAAATACCAGGCCACCCAGATATGTAAACAACCTACGCTACCCGGCCCGGGCCGACCCGGTACAGATGGGAATGGCCCATAAGGCTGACTACAGGCCTGTGTAGGGGGTGGATAGCTTTGGTATAAATCAAGCAGCCCTAGTGTTACTTCTGACCTGAGATCAGTTAAGTTTTCACCATGTTTACATGATCTGGACTCTGCTCTGGCTTACACGAGTTTTTACCGCGGCGCTATTATATCATTTATTGATTCAGCCAGCCCACTGTAAGTGCAGGTTTTCGGCTTTTATACCACGAGTCTGCGATTTCAGCCGTATTACTGCCCACACACCGCGGTGGGTCGGACCGTGTTCACCTGACACAGTCCGTATTACAACCTTTCCCAGTAGCGTTTGCTCTCGCCCGTCTGTCTATTTCTGCTCTATTTCAATCAGACAGGTCAGACACTCAACAGCCGGGTCTAGGACACGCCTCAGCGGCTTTCCCCAGCCTTCTGCTGAAACACGAAACGTCTCTCGTGTTTGAAAGGCAGACGCAACACAAGCGTAAAACACACCGTCAGCCAGCTTTTTATGTGCAAGGGTGCAAATGAAAGGTACTCCCTCACTCCCCCAGTGCGATGGAGTCACCCCGAAGCCGACGCGCGCGAGAGCCCACAGCGGAAGGTCGTCTGCGGCATGGACGTAATTTTGGGGGGGGACATGTCCCCCCCCACTTTTTCCAAAGTCAAGTTTTGACCCCTGCACTTTTTACCATCCAAAAACAATATTACACTATATTAAATTGACACTGGTTGAGCTCTAGGACCAGGCGGAAAGCAACCGTTTGTGTTGAAGGCTGTAAAGAACCCCCCCGTGTCCCCCCCACTTCTAAAGTGAAAATTACGTCCATGGTCTGCGGAGCCAAACAGCCGGCCGGGAAGCAATCCCAGCCTCCCGGACTTAAGCAGGAAGCGGCGCCCGGAGAGGACCTCCCAGCGGCGGCACAGCACGGCGGGTTTCACGTCACCAAAATGTTTATTTTGAAAATCCTTGTAGCATACCCAAAGGTCAACATCAAAGATAACCAGAAATTTACTTTGAATTTGCAGACACAAACTGCACATCCAGGAAGGCGTTACATCTGTCTGGCCTCCAAGCAAGGAAAGTAAGGATCTACGACGTGCAACCAACTAAGTAGCCATAATATCTCGGCTGGAACAAAAGTCATGCAGAGGACGAGACTGTCTGCACTCTCACTCTGAATCAAGTATTTTTATTTTTTGTGGTGCATTAGTTTAATGAGTTTATGGGAAATTAAAATCAATAGTACAATAAAATTAGTACAACAAACAAACATTTGCAGGTTTACAAGCAAACACACAACTTACACAATTCTAAGAATGGGTGCAGGCAGAAGCATCAGCTTATAAGCCCCCCCACCCCCCCCCCAACCCTTTGAACTTAAGCTAAATGTTAGAATAGCATACCGATTCCATAATTTATGCATCATTATTGAAATGTATGGGAATATATTCAAATCCCCTTTCTTGCTTTATAAAAAAATAATGACCTTTAATATTTTATGCTTTTTTTCATTGACTTGATTCATAATATTTGATCACATTTGATTTAAACATACCCTTAAACCTCACCATTGTTGAACAATCTGGTCTAATTTATTCCACACATCAACCCCAACACAAGAAACACAAAGTTGTTTCATTTTAGTTCTTACTTTAGGCTTTCTAAACATGTTATACCCTCTGAGATCATAAACACTCGCTCTGATCTGGAACAGATCCTGAATTTGTTTTGGCATCAAATTATACATCACTTCATACATAAATTGTGCAGTTCTTAATGTAACTAATTCTCTTAGCTTTAATACTTTTAAATGAGTAAAAAGTAAATGTGTATGCTCTCTACAAGCTGCTTTGTTTACAAGTCGGATTGCTCTCTTCTGAATTGTAAACAAAGACTTTAAGTGGGTTTCGCAGGTATTTCCCCACACCTCAACATAATACATGAAATAAGGCAGAATCAAGGAACAATACAAAACATATAAAGCTTTGTCATCTAAAAATTCTTTAACTTTATAGAGAACTGCTAATGATTTAGATAACTTTGCTTTAATTGAGTCAATATGCGGTTTCCAACTTTACTTTTTTTCTATGGTTACGCCAAGACATTCTATTTCATTCACTCTTTCAATGTCTGTAATATTTATTCTGAGATGTGTATCCACTGTAATTGCTCTATTAGTAAATATGATACATTTTGTTTTATTTAGATTTAAAGTTAATTTATTTAAGTTAAACCAACACTTTAATGCATTTAATTCTTTCTCAACCTTGCCCATTAATGTTATTAAATCTTTCCCAAAACATAGAACATTCGTATCATCTGCAAATAATATGAAATTCAATGTTTTAGAAACTAAACATATGTCATTGATATAAAGAATAAACAAGGGACCTAACACTGACCCCTGTGGGATACCGGTGGTCACTGTCAGTAGCTGTGAATCAGTGTTGTTAATGTGGATGTATTGGAGTCTGTTCTCTAAATAACTCTTAATCCAGTAATAGGCCACACCCCTGATGGCATATCTACACAATTTTTCATTCATCTTCCTTGAATCATAAATGACTTTTTATAACGTGATTAGGGATGCACCGATGGATCGGCATTTGATCCCAATTGCCCAATAGCGCCCCTATCGGTTTTGATCAGAGTTTTCAAAATAGATCAAAGCAGACCGATCAGGTAGGGTTGTCATGGTAACCGGTGTAGCGGTAAACCCCGGTAAAAAAAATTGACAATAATAATAACCGCCTTGTTTTAAAAAAAACTATATTATCTCGGTGGATTACCGTGGCTGCGGTGTAGGCACGGTGACCCTTACCAGCCACCGTATCATCTGCTGAAGTTGCCGGCGGCACATGCGCACTTTGTTGTTTACAACCAAAACTTTCTTGAAGCTAAAGCTGAAATAATGGCCAAAGGAGGAGACGGCAGCGCTCAGGACATTTATTATCCCTCAAAGAAGACAAAGTGGGAAGTACGGGCATCTTTTGGATATTTGAAGAATGCCGAGGGACAGCTGATAGAAGACGGCTATCCTGTTTGCAGCACGTGCAGAAAAAGTGTCTGTGAAAGGCAGCAACGCTTCAAATCTCATGACACATCTGCGTGACCATCACCCACAACTCTACAGTCAACGCAAGGCAAGCTAACGTTAGCGTTTTAGCTAAAATGCGTGATCCGAGGATTTGGGTTGAGGGAGAAAGCAACGAGTCGCTATATAAAGCAGCCGCAGCGACGCTACCTGCATATAAACCGTGTCGCGGACACCGCCATGTTGAAATGACGCTATGCATTACGGGGCTCCCAGGGGCAGATAAGAGTTGGTCTCTCTCCGAGAATAATTATGAATTTAACAACGATTACTGCCTGATGACATTTTCCCACATCTGCAAAGCTCACTGGAAGGACACAAACCGAGGACGATATTTTCCTGATATAGGGTTTATTACTCAAGTAAGGGTAAAAAAGTATCTGATTAGAAGTATACTTGAGTACTGAGAATCAACTGATCTAATATTTAAAATGATGACATCAAACAGACAAAAAATAAGAAGTTATGGGCAAATATTGGTATTTTAAAGACTAAAGGGGAAAAATGTAAACAAATAAACAACATAATTACAAAATAACACATTTTAGGCAAAATTTAGACACAAACTGAGGACAATATTTCCTGACATACAGGGTTTATTTAATTGTGTGAAAATGTAACACGTTTAAAAAAATACCGCAATAATACCGAAAACCGTGGTAATTTTGGTCACAATAACCGTGAGGTTACATTTTCACACCGTGACAACCCTAATACAGACCATTTTAGATTAGGTTACATTTCCTTTATTTCCATATTATGTAGTTTGTACCACTCATTATAATGTTGTACAAAATATCTGGCCAATCCACGTGATCGGTATCGGTGATCGGCAGCAAAAAACCTGATCGGTGCATCCCTAAACGTGACAAATGCATAAGTGTCATATAATCATCTCTTGTTAAATCCCAAAATGTTTGAATAATGTGTGCATCAATCAATGATGCATTAAAATGAATATTTTTCCTGCAATGATTCATTTGAGATGTTAAACTACATCAGATCGGTATTTGCTGATTTAACAAGTTAGTCTATCAGTATACTCATGCATCATAAGATTAATATTAAGGTTTTAACATTCACATAGCTGTTAAAACACTTCCACCTCACACTGAGAATTAACCTCACTGAGGATCTGAGGGAAGGCGTGATTTCTGAGGTATTCTGGTAATGCCTCTTTAACGTGTCAAACTCTGATTTGCCAAATTTATAAACAAAGTTGATGAAAACAGGAATCACGTCCTGATCTAGTTAGTCGTCGCCGTTCACTTGATAAAGCCAATCGGGTGAACACGCATTTTGAGGCCCTCCTATCTTTTGACCTCAAGGTCAAAGCCTCTCTGCAAGGCTTACGAGTTATTTCAGACACAACGGCTCTTTTAAGAGCCACCCAACAGCCTTAGACACAAAGTAGACACTCCAGCTTCCTGCCGCCACCTGAAGATAACCCAGACTAGAAGGGTCGTATTCTGAGCTGGCTACGAGCGCCGGTACCAGAGGTCCACGGCATCGGCAGTGTACATCTGGACCTCCTGACCCCCTGGATTGCTTGGGGATCTTCACACAAGGGTGCGTAGACTCTGCACGATTGCATCGGATGGTTTTATGGCTTTGTTCGGGTTCACACCTTCACTTTGTTTATACTCATGATTTTATTTTCTACGTTTATCACTGCTATTGTTTTTCTGATGTATTTATTTTATCATGTTGTACAGCGCTTTGTGATTTATATCCGAGAAAGGCGCTATATAAATAAACTTTTACTTACTTACTTACTTACTTTTATAAACAAACTTTAGCTTATCAAACCATACAGCTAAAGTGATTTTACAACCCAGACACCACAAGCTCTCTCAGATCCTTAAGAAAGGTTCTGCTACAACATCTAGCTCCCATTCCATCATTCCACCACCATCTGTTACCTGTATAACCATCATTTCATTCGTACGTTGTCATGTACAATCATTTAGTTTAGGAAATTAGAATTAAAATCATTTTTATAACTATATTCTTGACTTTGACTTAATGTGACGTGTGTGCTCCCTGAATAAGTCAAAGAAACTAAAGTCTTCTGATTAAACTTTCAAAGGCCAATCAGATTGACATTTCATTGATTTATAGGGGCAGCAGTAGCTCAGGAGGAAGAGCGGGTTGTCCAGTAATCGGAAGGTTGCAGGTTCGATCCCGGTTCCGACCAGAGATTTCTGCTGTTGTGTCCTTGCTGTGTGAAGGGGTGAATGACTGATTGTGTTGTGAAGCACCTTGGGGGGGTCGTAGAACCCTAGGAAGGCGCTATACAAATACAGGTTGTTTACTATTTACCATATGGAATATCACATCTTATTGATCGTTTAATAAATATGTAATCAACGCCTTTTCTGCCGCTCACTTTGCTTCCCAAGTTCTCTGATCATCACAACTTTAGGCTCTTGTTCATCATGTGGACTCTCTGCTTTGCAGAGCTTGTTGTCTTTAGAGATGCTTTGGTTCGTCTGCATTTAGGTTTTAATGCAACACCGGAATCCTGGAATCATAACTTATAAGTTCAAGAGGGTCAGCAGTAGCTCAGGAGACAGAGCGGGTTGTCCAGTAATCGGAGAGTTGTGGGATCGATCCCGGCTCCAGACAGAGAATTCTGCTGTTGTGTCCTTGGGCAAGACTCTTAACCCACCCTTCCTGCTGGTGGTGGTCGGAGGGACCAGCGGCACCGGTTCCTGGCGGGTTCGCCTCTGTCAGTGCGCCCCAGGGCAGCTGTGACTACATTGTAGCTCATCAACATCAGTGTGTGAACGTGTGTGTGAATGGGTGAATGATACACTGTAGTGTAAAGCGCTTTGGAGTCCTCCGACTCAGAAAGGCACTATACAAGCGCGGGTCATTAATCATGGTTCAAAATTCCTGTTTGTTTATTTATTTAGCAGACGCTTTCATCCAAAGCCATTCACAACCATGGATTTAGCAAAGAATTAAGCTAGCATGTATGTTTTTAACCAGAGCATTGACGTAATTTTGGGGGGTGATGGGGGGGACATGTCCCCCCCACTTTTTCCAAAGTCAAGGTTTGACCCCTGCACTTTTTACCATCCAAAAACAATATTACGCTATATTAAACTGACACTGGTTGAGCTCTAGGACCAAGCGGAAAACAACCGTTTGTGTTGAAGCCTGTTTCCCATTAGAGCATACTGTAAAGATACCCCCCCCCCCCCCCCGTGTCCCCCCACTTCTAAAGTGAAAATTACGTCCAATCCTCACATGCGTGGGGAGAACATGCTAACTCGTGCTACCAACTGTCCACCATGCAGCCCAGTAAACCGATACCAGATCATTTCTGTTTAATTCACTAAAATTAGCCGATAAGATCTTGGATCAGCGAGGTCATTTTTAGATCACATAAAAAGGTGTGGGTGTAAAAATAACCCCAGAAGATGATAAAAAAACACTCACATCCAGCCCTTTCTTGCTTGTCCTTCTTTTGAACGACGTTCGTTTTTTCCTCCTGGCGGAGTTCTTCAGAGAGCTCTGAGACACAGACGGAGTCTAGCGGTTAGTTCACTGTCACCAGCTTCATCGTGATGGTGATTAGAAGTGCAGCGAAGCATGTGACGTGACCGCGGGATACAGTTTTATGCATCTGTGTGTGTGTGTGTGTGTGTGTGTGTGTGAGGGCTAACAGACACAGAAACTGGAAGGGCCCTCAGACAGATCAGACGTTCGTCAGCTCAAATCTCATCAAATCTAGAATAAAACACGTCAAGCTTCTGACAGGCTGTCGTTCAAATTTAGACCCGACGAAGTCGTTTTTAGTGTTTCTACACGACATCTGCTGAACTTTACCAACAGGAGGGCAACGCTCTGCGTGTGCGTGTCTCACCTGTGGTTTTCTGACTTTGATGATCCAGGAGGGGGGTACTATGACTCCAGCATGGGCCCCCAGCGAACACGGCTCCTCTATCTGATGCAGCATGAAACACGTCACCTTGTTGTGGAACTGAAAGGAAAAACAAGAATATCGGTCCCGAACTTTTCACAGACCCTTGTGATTGTTAGACCCTTAGGCACACCTCCTGATGAAGTGTAAAGATCTACCTAATATTACATTTCATCGGATTCAAGTTTTGCTAAAATAGAAGTTTAAAAAAAGACTAAAACAGGACACAACTATTACCGATTCTATGTTCCTATGAAGTGAACTAAGAAGAGGAAATATGCTGGTGGAGGTTCTCAGTCATCCAGGTCACGGCCATCCAAAAGGGTTCAAATGAAGGTAACTGGACTTCTCTGGTCTCATTTGAACCCTGTTGGATTAAAAAGAAGAAACAAAAACTTCTGGATACTTCATTGCAGTAATTCGTGCGGTTTCACACTAGAGCAAGTCCGTTTCAAAGGCACGTTTGAGGCCCAGCATCATGAGCAACAGGACCTATTAGTGCTCAGACTGTGTTGGGTCAGTGTCGTGGTTCTGCTGTTTCGCTCCTCCGAGTATCTTTGCAGGTGGGCGTGTCGGAGAGTCTCAGCTGTGGCTGATTGCCCATGAGCAAGGCCGGGGGATTTAAGGAGTGGTGTGTCCACACTCCAGCGGTAGCCTCCAGCCTCGTCCTGAACTCTAGTAAATTCCTGAACGCTTGTCTTGCTCGCTCTGTTTCAATTACCCGTCCTGCCTTCAGACCAACCACCGGATCTCAGCCTGAGCTTCTGCTTCCCTGGAGTGTGTGTTCAGCATCGTCACTCATCTCCGCCGTCCACCTGCCCTGGATAACCATCAACCAAACCTCACCTGCCTCTTCCCTCTCCATCATTGACCAGACCTGACCTACCTCCTCCTCACATCCATCCTCAGTTCCTGCTCCGTAAGATTCTCCTTTCCTCGGTTATCATCTGGTTCTCTAGCTCCTGGATTTAACCCCCCCCCCCCCCCCCCCCCCCCCCGTGTGTTTTCTTTTTTAGATTCCGGTCCTGTTCCCACTTCGTTTGAAGTTGCGCCCTGAGTTCAGTTATTCACCTTTTCTCCACTGGGAAAGGGTGGCTTGCCATCTCCGGGTCGGGGGAGAGGTCCTACCTCAAGTGGAGGAGTTTAAGTATCTCGGGGTCTTGTTCACGAGTGAGGGTAGGAGGGATCGGGAGATCGACAGGCGGATTGGTTCGGCGTCTGCAGTGATGCAGACACTGAGCCGATCTGTCGTGGTGAAGAGGGAGCTGAGCCAGAAAGCCAGGCTCTCGATTTACCGGTCGATCTACGTCCCAATCCTCACCTATGGTCATGAGCTTTGGGTAATGACCGAAAGAACGAGAACGCGGATACAAGCGGCCGAAATGAGTTTCCTCCGTAGGGTGGCCGGGCTCAGCCTTAGAGATAGGGTGAGGAGCTCGGACATTCGGGAGGGACTCGGAGTAGACCCGCTGCTCCTCCGGATCGAAAGGAGCCGGTTGAGGTGGTTTGAGCATCTGGTCAGGATGCCTCCTGGACGCCTCCCTGGGGAGGTGTTTCGGGCATGTCCTGCCGGCAGGAGGCCCCCGGGTCGACCCAGGACACGTTGGAGAGGTTACATCTCCAATCTGGTCCGGGAACGCCTTGGGGTCCTGCCGGAGGAGCTGGTGGAGGTGGCCGGGGAGAGGACGGTCTGGAGCTCCCTGGTTGGGATGCTGCCCCCGCGACCCGGACCCGGATAAGCGGAGGAAGACGACGACGACCTTTAAATAAACATTATTATTGTTTCTTACCTTCTTTGTGTGTGTGATTCTTCGTGTGGGTCAGGAGGCTTCCCGCTAACATGACAGTCAGCTTCTACCACACCTAATTTTATTTTATGTATTTATAATATAATATGTTAAACTGAGCTTACACATGGTGAAGCATTAAGTTTTCTGACACTTTGTTAAACTTTACAGGTTTTATACATTTTATTTTACAGCGATTAAAGCCGATATAGCGATTCGAATCTACAGAACAAGCTAGGTTTCGAATGCAAACACGGTCACTGAATAGTCGCCTTCTCTGGATCTGCATCCACCCAAACCAGAAGCACACACTGCCAGAGAAAACCAGATGGCGCTAAACACCAGCCGCCGTTTTCTAGATCCAAACGTCTTTTGTTGTCTGTGACTTTAAATGGCGTTTTTCTTTTTGGGACTCTGGTAGTTTGTCCTAAACTTGTAGTCGTAGCTGTTTCTCCTTCTCTTGACATTATAGAGTGGAGAACCTCTCACACCAGTGGTGTTCTGTTGCTAAATATGCAAGTGTGTAATGAATGAAGGACCCAGGAAAGTGGCGGTCCTAATGGTGCTAATTTATCTTTGCTATAGCAGCTTGAACACAAACAACAAATAACTCACAGCCTGTTTACACCAGGAACAGCTGATGGCGATGATTTCTTTACTGTGGAAAAACTTCTGCTGAAAACTCTGAAGGAAGAGATAAAAATTAGTTGAAGACTAAAAAAGCATCAGCTGCAGCTTCTCGTGTCTGAGTTTGCTCACCTTTCCACACTGTTTGCATTTCCCCTCTTGTCTCCGCCGGTGAACCCAGTGGTGTCTCAGGACGTTCTGCGGTCAGAACATAACACACAAAGCTATGACTCCTCGCGTTTTCTCATCTCACTCATCTGGACGGCTGACACGCAGAAGCACTCACATCTCTGAGGGTCCGGGATCCCCCCTCCCTGAAGGTCGGCTTGCATCTGAAGTTAATCTGAAGGGAGACGGGAGAGTTGGTGAGGCCACCTGCTTTTGTTTGAACGGGAACGAGGTGGAAAGGAGATCTAATTTACAGAACTAGCCGTCAACTGTGATGACGGTTGTGCATTTGTGTCAAACCTTTTCTAGCTGCTCGATGCAGCCGGTGTGAACCACGATCTTACAAGCAGCACATTTCCTCCTGGGGGCCGACTTCTTAAGGAGACACGGGGAGCAGAGAGCAGGGTGAGACACACGAACCCAACAGAAAGAAAACAGAAATAAAGCCCCACAGCACTTTGGCTGACCTAAAATAAAACAAATGCCTGGTTTACATGCTTCAGAAAGACCTTATTGAATAGAAAAATATTGGTTTATATAGGGATGTAAGAAAATATCGATATGGCAACATATCGTGATATATTTGTTTTCCTGCAATATTATATCGATGTTTAAAGCCGTGTATCTAATTGTTGAATTTACATGCAAAAAGGAGTATATATGGTGTAATTCTGACACCAACCTCTAGTTGGCAGCAGTGTGCAATGGGTTTTGTTTCCACCATTGAAGTGTAAATACCTGTATTATGGTTCAGATACCTCAGGTTAAACTTGTTAAGCATCAGTTTGGACTGTTCATCTCCTCACGCTTAGACTACTGTAACTCTCTTTTCACGTGTCTGAGCAGAACCTCCCTGAACCGTCTACAGGTGGTTCAGAACGCCTGTGCTCGGCTTCTGACCAAGTCCTCCAAACACACCCACATCACCCCGCTTCTCCTCCAGCTTCACTGGCTGCCAGTCAACTTCAGGGTTCATTTCAAGATCCTGGTTCTGGTATATAGGGCCTTACATGGACAAGCACCATCTTACATTGGTGATCTTCTTAGTCCCTACACCTCCAGCAGGTCCCTGAGATCCAGTGATCAAAGCCTACTGGTTGTGCAGCACCAGGCTAAAGGTCAAAGGTGACAGATCATCTGCTGCTGTGGCCCCCAGACTCTGGACCTCTCTCCCCCTGAGCCTGAGATCAGTGGACTCAGTGGTCTCCTTTAAAAAGCAGCTGAAGACTCACTTGTTCAAGCTGGCTTTTGTATGACCTTCTTCACCTCTCTCCTTATTCTGCTCTCCCCACCTATTCCACCTTCCTCAGGATCCACTGATTTCCCTCTTTCCTGTTCACTCTCTCCCTTTCTTTACACTTTTAATCACAATTGTCTAATTTTTCTCATTTTAATATATTTTTAAACATTTTCTAAATGCTTTTTTATATTTTTATATTTTTTGTTTTTGTGAAGCGCCTCGTGATTTTTATCTTGAGAGGCGCTATAGAAATGATATTTTCTTCTTCTTCTTTATTGAATTCTCCCATAATAAATTCTGTCTAAAAATCTCTAATATCGTCTGACTGAATGTATCTCAATATATCGTGATATATTGTATCGTCTCCCCTGTATCGTGATACTTATCGTATCGCCATTATTTCACCAATACACATCCCTAATTTTATACAAATGTTTTTCAAAATAAAGCACTAATGTCATTTCATTAAATGTAACAACATCTAATTATTGATTTACGTTGGGTTTTTATATTAATTGAAAAATGACAAGTGATGTTACCTATTTTGATGGTAAAAGATTATGACTGCTGGGTTAAACCTCCAGCAGATCCTTAGAGAGGCAGAGCCTGAAATCCGTTGTGGCTCATTTGCTTCTTCTGTTCTCTGAACACAAATTATTTTAACAACTGCAGCTTGATGAATCCCAACAGAGCCATCAGGGGAGAAGATAATCAGCTGACCTCATTTTAGAGAATAAACGTTGCTGAGCTGAGATCAGTTCAAGTTCAACCACCTCAGGATCCTAATACTTTCCTCACAGGCACAATGCATGATGGGAGCACCACTTCATCCATGACGTCCCCTCATCAGATAAATCCTTCTCTGCAAATTCAAGCTCCATATTTTCTATACTGATGGGACCATCTTTAATTTTTATGTCAATTTATGTTTCCTTTTTATTTTTCACTTCCTTTTGTGATGTAGGCAACAAAAGCGACCAAAAAGATTCAAAGCAAGCAGCAAATGAGAAACAGACACATGGCTCGACTGGTTAAATAACATTAAATACTTAAGATGCCAAAGGGCAATTTCCCTGCTATGAATAATAATCCACTGGTGCCCCAGCTTTTACAGCCAACCAACTACTTATTATGAGTAATAATCTGATGGTTGATAATGGAAGGGTCTTGTCTCTTGCCAGAGAGGTGACTCTGAACCGTAGCAGAGTGGCTGAGTGCCGTCGCGCTCGTGTTTCACAGGAAGCCAGCTCTGTTCTTCTGCTGCAAACCAACAAACTCCAGCTGTAAACATCCAAAGTCAAACGGTTTCCTTGCTGAAGCTGGAGTCTCACTAGTCACTGATTCGCTGAGGGTGGCTGACCACTGCCTCAAATACGTCTCAGTTTAGTTTCTACGAGTCAGCAGAAAACTTACGAGGTTGGCAGGAATGATGTCATCATCAGATTTTATGTACAGAATTGTTATAAGAACTGAATCAGTGTGAGTTCATCTTGTTTTGTTCAACACATCTGCAGCGGTCTCTAGCATTTGAACAACTTGTGAGTCGTGCTTTGTGACAGAATAAAAACTCTGGCTGTCCTATTTCAGGAAGCAGAAGTAAGCCAGAGGAGAGAGGAGCAGAAAACAGCAGGATAGGAAGCCTAAAGCCGGGCGGACACTGTGGGACTTTTTCACTCGCAGCGCTCAGCTTCAGCTCAAACTGTACGACTTCCTCGCAGGGCAGATCTCACGAGTCATGCGCTCACACTGTACGACCCAGTTCTCGTATGCGACCTGACTGCTCACGCTGTACGTCTGGTAGCAACACGTCGGACCTAAAAATGTGCTAAAAATAGCAGTTTTTACTCAACACGTCAGACTTTTTTGTCTTGTTTTGCCTGTTGTCCTTCGGGAGTGCTGCAGGAGGACACACAGGGATTTATGGGGGTTGGATGAGGAAAACGAAATAAAGAAAGTAAATCTGTGTTTTGTGATCAGTTTAATTTGACACGAACACGACAAACACGCTTTCTTGACAATCTTTGTGAGTAAAAAACGTGTAGAAATAAAAACGAACAGCGTGTGTTATTAGGGAAACAGCGGGGAGCGGTGTTGATGCAGGATTGCGCATGCGCCGTGAGCGGTTCTGGTACTTTTTGGGTCGCAGCTGCTCGCAGCGCCGCTTCAACAGTGCGATACCCTCACGAGGGACGAGCAAAATATCAAACACGCCAGAAGTCTGTGCGAGCTCACGACTGCTGATCGGTAGCTGGTCACATGGTGTTAATCGCCTCTCGTAACCCCCTGTACACTACACGACCGCTCAGCGCTAAACTCGCCCCGATCCTGTGGATTCTCGCACGAGTGGAAAATGCGCTCCAAAAAGTGAAAAAGTCGCACCGTGTACGCCCGGTTTACTCATTATTCACAATATTCTGACATCTTGCCTCTGATTGGCTAAGACCAGTGAAATTCTTTCACTGCCTCTGTTCGCTGTGCCAACATTGATGCTTCACATTAACACAAGCCTGAACATGTTCTGCCATGTTGTGTGGTTGCTAATGCTAACAGTTAGCTTCTGCTTGCCGAGACGCGCTCTGCTCTTTCCTGGATGCTAAATCAACATGAGCCAAAGTGGGTGAGTCCATGAATGATAATTTTCAGTGTGACATAGATCTGACTGACTTTTCTAATATGAGTGTATCCCTGTCTATTTTCTGTTGCCGGCTAATGCAGGAACTGGGGTAGAATACTATTCAGCCTGCATTTGAAACCCCCCCCCCCCCCCCTCCACTGGACACGTACACATCACATAATATCTGCGAAATGTACTTCTCAGCAATTAGCTGCCATTTTAGTGTGCGAGTGTCTTTCCACCGGTCGCGTAGCATCATATTATAGATGCGTCCCCAGAAGTGTGGGGACGCATTTCTTACACTTCGTCTATTTTTTTTGCTCTGTGCTTCCAGAATGCATCAAACTCCACAATATATATGAAAGTAATGTTTATCAGTAAATTACAAACAATAATGAACTTTATCACAATATGCTAATTTTTTGAGAAGGACCTGTACAAGCGCGTGTACACACACAGGTGCTCACATGGTGCTCTCGTAAGTATGGACTTGGGCACGTTCAACACATGTCTTAAGGCTGTGGCTGGCACTAAATGCACTGTGATTTATTATTGTGATTGTTCAGTAAAACAATGTTGATTTTATATGTCCTCATCAGGTTGACGAAGTGATAGCTTGCTCTTGTTGTATTGTTGTGTGTCCCTTTTTTTGTTTTGTTTATTTTTCTCTTTCTGCAGGTCTAGAAGCAGACTCTCGTTCATCATTGATGGTTTATTTTTGTCTCTTCCTTTCTCTTTCACCTCTGTCTCCGTGTCCGGTCAGAATTACAAAGCATTCAAAAACAACAACAATAACGTTTTAAGTATCAGGCGTGACATTAAAAGCAGACGCTTTGATGCTCCACCTGAGAGTAAATCTGTAAGGCTTGTCACCAGCATTCAGACATCAATTCTGTTTTCATTCTCTGCCAGACAGGACACGGGAGAAAGTAAATAAATAAATCATGCGGTGGCCTCTCGTATGCACGTTCCTCCGCACTCGTCTAATGATAAATCCCACCTGCGCATACCCAGGTGCTCGTGTCCGTTCCCAGTCATTTACATACAGAAACGCCCTCAGTTAACCATATTTGGTCACACTACATCCTCAGCTCGTGAGATAATTCCCTGGGTTTCCCTCCGTAAAAAAAAAAAAAAAAACTTTATTGACAGTGAGATCGAGACACTGGTTGCCAAAGTGCAAAAGAATCAAACACGTTGAAGAGGTTATAAACGCGGTCGGGACAGAGGAGAGGTTCCTGTCAGGAACAAATAAAAAACTGAATCTGATAAATCGTAGAGCAACGGGTTCTCATTTACATTTTACATTTAAGGGGCTGTTCTGGTTGGAGTCTGTTTTATTTGGAAATGTTTTCTGAGAGTGCATCCTCTTCATTCAGTCTGGTTACCTTGGCAACGTGGTGTGTACGTGGGGTTTATCGGGAGTTGTAAAGTAAAATATGAACTGGAATCGGATTTGTGCGGTTCGTCTGTCGCTCCAGAAAGGATCCCAAATCCCAACGTAGCTCCGGAAGAATCTCTTTCAGGAAGATCAGTGCGCTCACAGAGGATGTGTTCCCTCCAGAGAGCGCGCTCTGGCAAATACTCCAACCATGGACGTAATTTTGGGGGGGGGGACAGGGGGGGCATGTCCCCCCCACTTTTTCCAAAGTCAAGGTTTGACCCCTGCACTTTTTACCATCCAAAACAATATTACTTTATATTAAATTGACACTAGTTGAGCTCTAGGACCAAGCAGAAAACAACTGTTTGTGTTGAAGCCTGTTTCCCATTAGAGCATACTGTAAAGATCCCCCCCCCCTCCGTGTCCCCCCCACTTCTAAAGTGAAAATTACGTCCATGCCTCCAACACCGAACAACTACGATCCAATGCCAGATTCTCATCGATCACATGCGTCTTCTATTATTTTATTCATGCAAAAAAGCCTTTTTTCCAACAACATAATTATTTATTGGGTAAAATAATTTATGGCTGAGGAACACGTGTGGACGACTGAGAGCTTCAGTACTGCAGTCCCCGGTTCTACCACTAGAGCTGTTCTTATACGTAGGAGCATTTCTACGCACACGTACAAATGGGTAAATACGTCACAATGGGTAAAATGGGTCCCATGCACCAAATACGCACAGATCTGTTCGTAAGGACAGTTGATAAATGAGGGCCCAGGTCGTTTTTGTTTGAGAGGAGAAGGTTTTCATCCGTCACTCAAGAGGACATTAAATCCATATGAGGGTGTTTATCAGATTGGGCCATGTCCATTTCTACAAATGACCAGATTAATGGATGACCCCCTCATCTCTGAATTTTTGCTAACTGGCTGCTCTCCTTCCTTGTTAACACAGAATCAGTCCAGGGCTCTCATTAAAATATAGAACTTTGTCATTTCTTTTTCTACTTAAATAAGAGATTCATGTCTTCCCAGGATTCAGTGTCTAAGGTTCGATGGAATTATTTATAAGTCCTATAGACCAAATGAAATTCTAAGAAAAAGATCCAATCAAAGGATGAGAAACCCAGAAAAACGTCAGTGAAAGTAAAGCTCTTGCTCTTCGTTTCAGTCCCACAGAGAAGCTGGCAGGCTTGTTACTCACTGCAGTCTTCAGGAGGCAGGCGTCCTCTCCCAGATAACACAGCTCTCCCGAACAACTCGTCTCCATCCACAGGTGATCGCCGTTCACAGCATTCTCCTGCAGGAAGACACTTTAGTTCTTTTACTGTTCACCCAGTCATCATCATCGTCTTTCTACAAGTCTCACTCATTCATTTCCAGCCACAAAACCTGCAACCATGTGATGACTCTGCGGATCACAGTAAGTGTGTCAGGCACAGAAAACCGCAGTCACCATGCACCACACACACACACACACACACACACACACACACACACACACACACACACACACACACACACACACACACACACACACACACACACACACACACACACACACATTTGGCGCTATATAAATAAACGTGAATTGAATTGAATTGAATCACTGGACCTCAGGGACCTGCTGGGGGTGTAGGGACTAAGAAGATCACCAATGTAAGATGGTGCTTGTCCATGTAAGGCCCTATAGACCAGAACCAGGATCTTGAAATGAACCCTGAAGTTGACTGGCAGCCAGTGAAGCTGGAGGAGAAGCGGGGTGATGTGGGTGTGTTTGGAGGACTTGGTCAGAAGCTGAGCACAGGCGTTCTGAACCACCTGTAGACGGTTCAGGGAGGTTCTGCTCAGACACGTGAAAAGAGAGTTACAGTAGTCTAAGCGTGAGGAGATGAAGGTGTGGAGAACTGTCTCAAGTTCAGAGCGAGACAGAATGGGACTCAGCTTAGCAACGTTCCTGAGATGGAAGAAGGAAGAGCCAACAAGAGAACTGACATGAGAATCCAGGGTGAGAGCTGGGTCAAAGGTCACACAGATTCCTGACAGAAGGTTTGGTGTGGGAAGCAAGCTGACCAAGAGAGTCTCTGACTTTGGGAACCAGCTTGTCTGGGGCACAGATGAGGATCTCGGTCTTATCTTCATTCAGCTGAAGAAAGCTCCCACCATCCAGGTTTTGATAGAGTCTAAGCAGGTGTGTAACCGCTGCAGTTTAGACATCTCATGGGGCTTAAAGGAGATGTACAGTTGGATGTCATCTGCATAAAGATGGTAGGAGATTCCTTTGAAGGAGCTCAGGATGTGCTGAAGAGGAAGCAGATAGAGGAGGAAGAGCAGAGGCCCCAGCACAGAACCTTGTGGGACACCATGGGTAAGAGAGGTGGTGGAGGACCTAAACTTGGAGACGGCCACAGAAAAGGAGCGCTCAGAGAGATAAGAGGAGAACCACTCCAGAGCAGATCCTGATAGGACTAAGAAAGGAACGAGGTAAAATGCAGGGCTGCCCCCTGCGCAGCCTGGCTCGGTGAAGAGCGGCTATCGAACTGACAGTGATGCTGGGTGTTGATAGGTGGAAGGCGGGGCCACCACACAGAGCCACATTTGCCTTTACAAACGTGATTAGATGCTTCTTCAGCCAGGCCACACAAGGGCTCGTTCCTCTCCTTTTCTTGCAGCATTTTAGACACTTTTAGGTTTTGTTTTTGTAAACGTCTGCTTCTGTAAAAAACCAAAGAGCGCTTCAGGTTTGAGGCTTAAAGCTCCACATTGTTTTTGCTTGTCTTTATAAAGAGAAAATAAAAGTCTGTCTGCCTGCTTAATGTGTTGTTGATGAGTACTTTCCTTTCCCTCTTGACATTTTCCTCAGCGCTGTGGCCACACTTCAGAGCATAAAGCATTTTAAACCAGATTTTCACTTTCATGATTCATGATTTGTGTCTAAAACCGATTAAATTCCACAAAATAAACTCTTAGAAAGTCATATCTGGTGAAGTCGTGAAAGGTTGTTTTCCTCCCATGCTAGCAGGACAGCTATGAGCAGTTATCACGAAGAGAAGAAAACAGCTGCTTGTGGTTTCCACGGGAACACATGGCTGCTAATACATGTGTTATAGTAAAAACTCCAGTGGAATGACTCAGACATGACCGTCTTATGTGCAGTTATTAAAACTAACTACTGATGTCACGGTGTGTGTGTGTGTGTGTGTGTGCGTGTGTGTGTGCGTGTGTGTGTGTGTGTGTGTGTGTGTGTGTGTGTGTGTGTGTGTGTGTGTGTGTGTGTGTGCCTGACCGTCCAATCCACACAGGTGCGCAGCTCCTTGATGGGTCCGTTGGAGGCTGGAGGAAGCGCGGGCTGAGGTGGGCCGAGGTAATGGAGGCCCGAACGAGAGATCGCTTTCCTAAAAAAAATAAAAAGGACAAATAATGAAGCTTTTTGAAATCTTCGCTTACGTTCAAAAACACAAACTTCACCCATACTAAAGCAAAAATCTGCTCCATCATGCTCCGACACATCTCACACATCCCAAAGTCGCTGAATAAACGTGAGAACTATATTTCAGTGTGATTTTAGTTCGTAACTAAATTATTCATAATATTCTAGCTAAGCTGCAGATATTTGTCAGAGGAGGACAGCTTGGAGGGGAGACTGCCAGCAGCACTTCACAGTGACAAGAAGAGAGTTGGAGATGGTCTGTTCTGTCAGAGGGTGACTCAGCAGCCAGTCTCGGACAGGTTTCCTCGTCTTAGTTATATTTTATTAGAACAATGAATTATATGTAGCGTAAATCCACATTTTATATCCTTTGTTTGGATTCACACGGAGAAGAACAATAACATTTTCACACAAAGGTTTCTTTCACACTTAGCAGAAAAAAGGGGGAATTTGAAACCGGCCTACAATCGTATAAATTCCAAGATACCATTTTCGAACGTCTGGCTAACGCCGGGGACACACCGGCCGCCGAAGTGCAGCGAAAAAGGCCTCCATTCGGCGCCCTTGTTATCCTATTCTACAGACCACGTGGGCCAACGAAGTGCCACGCAACGGCGCTCCAGCCCGCGGCGTGCAGCGATCGTTTCTGCTTCTGCTCTATTTTTTTTGCGAGCCGCGGGTGAACCGCGTCAATTCTGGCAGGAAGTCAAACCTAGACATAAGAGGCAGGCCGGTAAATTTAACAAAATAAAGCATTTCAAAATACAATTCTGCTATAGTCAAATGTGTTCGTAAACAGACACTGCATAAAAACCACACACACACACACACACACACACACACACACACACACACACACACAGCAAGGGGGAGGGGGGTGTAGAGGAAAAGAGCAGAGAAAAGGCAGAGAGGAAATGGAGGACACCAAGTGGTTAAAAGAAAAACTACGCGGCGCGCCTCGACCGGAGCGGAGAAACAAGCGTCTGGTCTGAACTGAGGAGCAGCGAGCAGCTGCCGAATTTCGTGAGCGCTTCGCCTCCTGGCGCTTCGATGGCCGGTACGTCCCCGGCCTAACTCCTACATTTTCTCCCAGGAACGTAAATTTTACCAAGTGACTTGTTTTCCCTCCTTAAACAATCGAGAAGCCGGACATTATCAGGACTTGGTCCGTCTTACCTCAACCTGCCAAGAACTGACTCTCCCCAAGGTTTAACGCCTGGAGAAATATTACTTGAAACTACATTAAAATATTACAAGGAAATCTGGCTTTAATGTGAAGAATTGGTGGACTTTTTAAACTGTTCCCATCTTTCCAGAATCGGGAAAGAGATCCCATCTCCTTTCATCGTTTTCTGCCTGATTTCTCGGACTTACTGAACCACAGAGCAACAAGAGAAACACACACACACAACTTATTCTACAAGTCTGTAGTTTTGGGTGAAACATTTTTGTAGAAAACACCACAGGAAAAAATCTGCAAGGATCGGAAAACTTCCAGAGATGAACGTCAGAGTGTTTACTAAGCAAATGACATCTGTAGTAAATAAGAAATGATGGGATTAAACAAACATGTGGATCTTTCAGTGGAAAAGGTTGCAGCTACATCTGACTCCCTGCTGTTGAAAGTTTTAGTGGCCGTCTGTCTAAAATTATCAACTAGGACAAAGAGAGTCCACTTACACACCATGTAACCCGATCACACCTTCTCACACACACACAGGTTGAAAACACACGTGTGCATACACACACTCACGACTCGGGCTAAAAATAGTCCTGCCGTGGGTGAAACAGAACAAATGCAAGGACGTATGGTGACTGGACACATGCCACAAGAAGTGGAAACTCTCACAACTCCTTTATGTCACACATGTTGTAGGTATGTCGATTAACAATGACAAATTGAAGTTGAGGTGGCTCGGGCATCTGGTCAGGATGCCTCCTGGACGCCTCCCTGGTGAGGTTTTCCAGGCACGTCCAACCAGGAGGAGACCTAAAGGTAGACCCAGGACACGGTGGAGGGACTATGTCTCTCACCTGGCCAGGGAACGCCTTGGGATTCCCCCGGAGGAGCTGGCCCAAGTGGCTGGGGAGAGGGAAGTCTGGGCCTCTCGCCTTAGGCTGCTGCCCTCGCGACCCGACTCCGGATAAGCGGATGAAAATGCTGGATGATGGAAGGAATTTGAAGTAAAAAAAAAATCATGATTTCCGTGTTTTGGTATAATTTTGTTGCGGTGGAGCTCTGGGAAGCTGCAGCATGCTAAAATAGGAAGTAGTCCAAAAACTCAACCCAGGTGTTAACGAAGGCAGTGAAACAAACAGCCGACTGTCTGGACACGTTTGTTTGTAAAGAATTAAAGACTCAGTTTTTTGGGGGGGATTCCATAGTTGTGTGTGTGTGTGTGTGTGTGTGTGTGTGTGTGTGTGTGTGTGTGTGTGTGTGTGTGTGTGTGTGTGTGTGTGTGTGTGTGTGTGTGTGTGTGTGACCCGGAGGACAAAGGACAGGAGAACATGCAGCTAATTAATTAAATAATGTGGTTCTGTAGCTTTCTCTTCAGCACAGCGACAAAGGTTTATGATGGGTCAGTCCTCCTGCATGCTCAGATCATTCCCTTCCCTTGCTTGAAAAATTGTTCCAAAATGAAAGTTGAACCCACATCTTTTTTATCTGTGAATTCAATGCCGTTCGGCGAGTCTCAAATAAGAATTTGGGCATCTTACTGTAAAAAATATACCATTAATGTAAAAAATAAACTCTAAATAAACTATGTTCACATCCAGAATCAAACCCAGGTCTTCTGCATGAGAGTCAGACGTCTTACTAGGTGAGCTAAAGCACCAGTGACGTCCTTTGTATCTGTAACATTTATATCCTTGATGACAGCTGAAACAAAGAACGGTTCGGAGTGAAAATGGCTATTTTGTTGCTAATTTGCAGGAAATATCTAGAAGAAAGTTCTACAGAAAGTAGCTAAGGGTCCTCAGAAATGTAGCTAGCTTTGTCACTAGGCGTTAGGAACAGCGACAAAGTGGCACTGCCTCTCTCTCTGCTGCTAAAGCTACGGATAGCAAATGCTACGGGCGATGCCTGAGCGTGAACGCGCATGAAGCAGCCTGCTCGACCCGAGCATCTCTCTTTTTCTGTGATTTTACAGAAAAACAGGCAATCCCAGTAAAAATGCCAGGGCTCATTCTACAGGACCAGGGCATTGCAGGAGAATGTATGAAGAAGACATTTATTATTTCTATACATGTTTTAGCTGTCACACTTCCATAATGCACCTTTAAACTGTATTTTTAAACATTTTCTAAATGCTTTTTTATATTTTTACATTTTTTTGTTTTTGAGAAGCGCCTCGTGATTTTCATCTTGAGAGGCGCTATAGAAATGATATTTTCTTCTCCTTCTTCTTCTTTACCTCCCTCCTCAATTGTTTTGACTCGTCTTTTAGCAAAGAGCTGTGCGCGCCGTGGGGGGGGGGGTGAGTCTGGAGATGAGCCTTTCAGACACACGTGTGCTTGTGCAGCAGTTCATCATTGCTTAGATTTACAGAAAGAAAGAAAGAAAGTAAGAAAGAAAGAAAGAAAGAAAGAAAGAAAGAAAGAAAGAAAATCTTTTATACAGCGTTGCTCAAGATAAAACTCATGAGGTGCTGCACATGAATGAAAATTTTTAAATATAAAAATTAAAATATCAAAAATATGATTAAAATGACCTCACTGATCCAAGATCTTATCGGCTAATTTTAGTGAATTAAACAGAAATGATCTGGTATCGGTTTACTGGGCTGCATGGTGGACAGTTGGTAGCACGAGTTAGCATGTTCTCCCCACGCATGTGAGGATTGGACGTAATTTTCACTTTAGAAGTGGGGGGAGACGGGGGTGGGGGGTGTGTGTGTATCTGCTCTAATGGGAAACAGGCTTCAGCACAAACGGTTGCTTTCCGCTTGGTCCTAGAGCTCAACCAGTGTCAGTTTAATATAGTGTAATACTGTTTTTGGATGGTGAAAAGTGCAGGGGTCAAAACTTGACTTTGGAAAAAGTGCCCCCCCCCCCCCCCCCCCCCCAAAAAAAAAATTACGTCCATGGTTCAAGTTTCAGGTGGAAAATTACGTCACTCAGTGTTTTCAGACAAAAGTTTCATGAACACATTAACATAATTTTACTGATAAAGACACACACACAAGGTTAATAAACGAGGCAGTCTCAACATTCACCTCAGACGTTTGACTACTATGTTGACTGAGAGGAGTTAAAAAAATAAAATCAGTATCAGCTCGAAGGGTTTTACGAATAACACAAGTAATAGTAATAAAAAACAGGACCGTTTCCTGGTTTTTGACGTGAAATTCACATGTGCTGACACACATGGGTGTACGTTGCGTAACACTTCGGTTTGATGCGTTTGCAGCCGTTTATCCAGCTTTGTGTGAAATCGCCCCCTTTACTGCTTTACAGCCCTCCACGGACTCGCAGGGTCAATTACGTTGGTTTTAGATGCTCGGGTAATTAAGGGAGACTGCTGAGCGTAAAAGGTTGAGAGGGTGCTAATCAAGCTGCAAATAATCAGCCCACAGTTCAATCAATTCAGCTTAAGTGACTATAAAAAACACGAGGCTGCACAGTCACACCGTTCTGTCAGACGACATTAACGGGTTTTACTTTTCACAAGGCAAAAGGGGCGGAGTCAAGGTGAACTACGGCCAGTGACGGAGCTCTGATGAAACGAAACAAATTTCCCACTTGTGGGACTAATAAAGGTCATCTTATCTTATCTTATGTTTAAAAGTCAGTCTGTGTGACGATTAGTTGCTTTTAGACAGAATGATCAACTTCTAAACATCTAAGAGTAAAAGTTAAACGAGATCAGAAAAATCCTCGAGCAGCGAGCTGAAACGGCTTCCGCTCATCATCCTCACAGCTCTTCTGTCTTCCAGCTGATAATCACCCCTTTGCCTCCTCTTC